CCACACTTCCTGAGTGCCCGGTGCAGCCGTGAGGAGCCGGGGTTCCAGGGGAGAGACCAGGGGAGAGACCAGGGGAGAGCCGGGGGCTGTGGCTGGAGGAGGAGCCTCGCCCTCCTGGGCCTTCTTCCTCTCCGGAGGCTCAGGCACCTCTGCGCCCCTCGCTGGCCAAAGGACAGAACATCCAGCATCATCCGCTCCTCTCTCCCCGTGTGGTTCAGTGCACACTCCTTCTGTGCCCCGCACTGTGCTGGATGCAGAGGACACAGGGGACCCCAGACAGACCCAACCGCCCTCCCCTGCTCCCACAGAACCAGGCAGTTGATACCCAGAATGTGTGACTTGGGGGGGAGGCAATGGTGGGAGTTTGAGGAGGTACAGACAGGACAGACAGGAGGGCTTCCTGGAGAAGAAGGTAATTATAACTTATTTATTTATAAAATATATTCTATTGATTTTTTTTTTACAGAGAAGAAGGGAGAGGGGCAGAGAGTTAGAAACATCGATGAGCCAAAATCGGTTTGACTCAGTAGATAAAGCGTCGGCCTGCGGATTGAAAGGCCCTGGGTTCGATTCCGGTCAAGGGCATGTACCTTGGTTGTGGGCACATCTCCAGTGGGGGGTGTGCAAGAGGCAGCTGGTCCATGTTTCTTTCTCATCGATGTTTCTAACTCTCTATCCCTCTCTCTTCCTCTCTGTAAAAAAACAATAAAATATACTTTCAAAAAAAAGAAAAAAGAAAAAAAGAAACATTGATGACAGAGAAACATCAATCAGCTGCCTCCTGCACACCTCCTACTGGGGAAGTGCCCGAAACCAAGGTACATGTTCCTGACAGGAATCGAACCTAGAACCCTTCAAGTCTGCAGGCCGACGCTCTATCCACTGAGCCAAACCGGTCAGGGCATAATTATATTTATTAAGCAACTACTATGCCCCAGTCACCCAGTTAAGGATGATCAATAAAAGCAGAATCCCATTGAATTCTACAAAAGCTCCATGAGTATGGAGAAACTGAGGCTCAAGGAAGCAAAGCGAGCCCTCCTCGCCCGCACTTCTCAGGGTGCGGTCCTGTGCCACTGGCTCGTCGCCTCCCCGCAGTCCTTACACACACCGGCACCGGGATACCGGCCCGGCCACACGGCCCTGCCCCCGGCCTGCAGCACCGGGCGCTGTCAGGGCCTCACGGACAGAACAGCCAAGGGGAGTCAGGGGAGGTTTTCAGAAACTGGGGAACGATCCCCCATTTAAAGAAGACACCCAGGCCCTGGTTGGTATGGCTCACTTGGTTGGAGCATTGTCCCAAAAGGTTGTGGGTTCGATCCGTCAGGGCACATACCTAGGTTGCGAGTCCAGACTTTGGAGGCAACCAATCAATGTTTCTCTCTCACTCTCTCTCTCTCACAATGGAAAAGGACATACAGGATATCACTGCCCCTCCCACTGCCGCCAGAGCAATGAGAGGGCACTCCTGGGCGGCAGCCCACACCCCAGGGCCCAGGACAGAGCAGCCTTCGGAACAAGGTCACTGGCCATGGAACCCCCTCTGGAGTGCCAAAGCCCGGGGTGCCCAGGACACTGCGGCGTTGCCTCCTCCGTTTTAAATTTCAGAACAGGGACCCCTGTTTCCTGAGACAAGACGTTGTCCTTATGGCTGAAGCCCCTTTGGCTTCAAACTGCTCAGCTTCCGAGAGGCCACAATCCAGCCCCCCTATCCCCGGCCATGAAGCCTCCGTGTCTCCATCTGCAAAAGGTGAAAATGCACCCCGCACACAGGGTTTGTGAGTGAGAGTTCCACCCCAGCCGAAACCGGTTTGGCTCAGTAGATAGAGCGTCGGCCTGGGGACTGAAAGATCCCGGGTTCGATTCCAGACAAAGGCATGTACCTTAGTTGCGGGCACATCCCCAGTAGGGGGTGTGCAAGAGGCAGCTGATCAATGATTCTCTCTCATCAATGTTTCTAACTATCCCTCTCTCTTCCATTCTATAAAAAAATCAATAAAATATATTGGGGGGGGGGAAGAAAAAAGAATTCACGCGTGATTCAATCCCACCTGCAGCGTAACCAGAAGCCCCGCCCCCCTGTGCGTCCAAACAGAGGACACGCAGCACAGAAACCCCCCCATTGTTCACTCAGCACCCCGGTAGCAATCGCCACAGTCTGAGCCCCAGGTCACACTCCAAGGATAGACATCCTGGTGATTTGGGGCCCTCTGCCACGGACCGCCCCCCCCCCCCCCCCACACACACACGCTGCAGGTGACCCCAGCGGATACCAGCTTCTCACAAAGACACGCAAAAATCACATCTCAACTGGTTTATTTGCTTTGGGGGTGTCAGGTTTGGGGTCTCCCCAGGCCCAGCCCCCAGTAGAGTCTGGTAGACACTTCCTTGGCATGGAGTCCCAGGCGTGGGGGTTCAGACAAGGCACTGACAGGAACTCGGGGGTCGGAGAGAAGCCACCTTGGGCAGGAAAGCTCCTTCCTGGAGAGATTTAGGACAAGATGGAAACCTGAGATGTTGGGGGGCGGAGGAGGGCCTAGAAGCCGGGTACCCCCTGGGCAGGTGGGAAGCCAACGCTCCCCAGGACCTGGGTGGCGCCTCCCGTGGTTCTGGGGCCTCAACAGGCCTGGGAACGGAGCGCCTGTTCCGGACCGGCTCCTGGGACTTCCTGGCGATAAAGCGAACAGGACAGGAGAGCTGCTCGCCCAGGCCCCCCTGCCCATGGACACCCGGGAGCCAGGCCAACCCCCAGAGAATGGGACCCTGGCCCCATCCCCCCTGCCCGTTCCTATGGGCGAGGCAGGCGCTCCTGCGGGTGTCTGGGCAGCTGGAGGAAAGGCTTGGGTGAGGAGAGGGAGGGGGAGAAACGGATATGCAGAGTGGGGAGCCCCAGAACTCAGCTGGTGACACCTGCCCCGGCACCATGTTCACCATCGGCCTAGGTACTGACCTTCTAGATGTACCCCTGGCACACGGCCCGCACCCCAAACAGCCCCCGTGCCGCGGGTCTGAGCGGGACCCTGGCCTTCAACATGCTTTCTCCCCCAGCGGCAGCCCCGGCCCTTACAAGGCACTTGTGCCTGGAGGAGGGAAATTTCATCTGGGATATGGAAAAAAAAAAAAAAAAAAAGCCCTTTTGGCTCCTCCTAGTCCATGGATGCCCGGGATTCATGGCCAGGAGGACTGAGGGGGCAGCCTGGCACTGAGGTGGCCTGCCTCTGCCCCTCCGGCCACCCCCGTGGCTGCAGGCTCGGTCTCCGGTGGAGGCTGCGCACATGGTGAAGAACGGAGCTTTGACCCACCATCCTTGAAGGAGAATTGTGGCTCAGACACTTCAAGGGGTGGAGAGGTCAAAGGTCAACCGTCTAGACAGTGGCAGCAAAAAGAGGCTGGTGTGGGGGGCAGATGGCCTCCAGCAGCTCCCCCCCAACCTGGGTACCCCCAGGGGCACAGGAATGCTGATGTTACCCCCCCTCCCCCTCCGCTGGCCTAGCTTCCCAGCAGAAGCTTCTAAGATAGCAATAAGGTATCTTGAATCTACTTTTCCAGCTGTCCCCTGAGCAGGCCCTTCCATCCTGTCGGGAAGTTTCCATGCCAACAAGCAGCAGGGCAGCTGAAAATTATTTTCCTTGCTGAAACGATTGCAATCTGATACTCTCTCCAGAGACTTGGCGCTGATCAGGAAGCCATGACTGCCCCCTGCCTGGCCCTGTCTCTCTCTGTGGCCAGGGGGCCTTGGCTGTTCCTTGACCCGACCAGGTAGGCCAAGTGGCACCCGGCCCAGAACACGATCTCAAATCCCTCCTTCTTTCCTTTCTTCCTTCTTTCCTTTTCCCTTCCCTTCCCTCCTTCCATTTCCTTCCTTCCCTCCTTCCATCCCCTTCCTCCCTCCCTCCCTCCCTTCCTTTTCCTTCTCTCCTTCCTTCCCTTCCACCATCTTCTTTCTTTGTTAAGCTCCTCCTGCACACACCACTGACCTTCTTTTGGAGGGAAAGGGGCAGCCAAAGGAGCTGAGAGAAGAATCAAGGTGTGAGGTGCAGAGGCTCTGGCATATTAAACCAGACACCTAAGTCACTGCCCCCCCCCATTCCCCACCGCAGCACCCCGCCCTCCACAGGGGCTCCCCAGAGAGAGGCCCCCTTCAGCTTTCATATAAGACCCCCATCATCACTTTTCTCCTGTCCCTCCTCAGCCTTCACATCACATCCCTCGGTTCAACTTTCCGCCATTAGCAATGTCACACCCACCTCTCCCGGCCTCATTCTCCTCCACACCTGACTAGCTGCACCCACTCCACAGGCCCACCCCTCTGTCCCATCCTGTGCCCCACTCTGAGCCTCTGGAAACGACAAGGGGAGGAGCTGAACCCGCTCTCTCTTCCTTCACAAAAGCATTTTGGTCTGAGACCCAACAAATCCAGACAGACACATCACAGAGTGGATGGAGAGTTGACCCAAAAGAAAAATGTTTTAAAATTCAAAACAGGAAAAGGGGGGGGGGGGGGAGGGAAGCTGTCAGGGAGTGAGTGAAATAGTTAATAGTATTTGACTAAATAAAAATGAGCTAAGTGTGCTGCATCATGGACAAGGACAGGATTCCGGTCCAACTGGAGGAAATTGAAAACTATCGCGGGAACATAAAAACGACACACACACGCTTGACAATGATCAGACAGTAAGTTACGTCTCTCAGTGGCTAAGTCACAGGGTGCGTTAAGCAGGGAGATGAAATGAGGACAAAAGAAAGATGAAAATTCGGACTTTGGGGAGCGTCTGGGTTCCAGACTAGACCAGGCTCACCTCCAGTCCTCACCTCCCTCCACATCTTGCCAAGATTCACTTTCTCCTCAGAGCCCCCAAAATCAGACCTTGGGGAGCAGAGCTAGATGGAACTGGATGCTATGAATAGGACCTCTGCCCCCCCCCAAAAAAAAAAGTCTTGAGCCCCCCACATTCAAAAGAGCCACAATTTCTGCTCACAGAAGCCAGGTGAGGGAGCAGATGCAATTATATCCCAACACCCAGATTTCCCAGGAGAGACCCCAAACTCAGACTGGGGCCATGGAGGGGACATTCCTGGCAGAGGGAGGGCTGACATGGACAGGGAAGCAGAGGCCCAATCATTTCTGCCTGCCGGCCACAGTCTTCGCCCACTGCCCCGCACCCTCTCCCAGTCTCCTCCCTCCATCCCCCCGTGCCCACTCCCCTCCCCCAGAGAAAGCCCGAAGTCAAAGAACGCCTTTCCCCCAGAAGCCCATGCGCCTGGCTCCCAGTCCCCATAGCAGCTCAGCAGAGGAGGACCTGCCCGGGGCCCTGGAACAGGAGGGAACGAAGGTAAACGTTTAAGAAAACAGAATAAAAATATCAACTATTTAAGAAAACCCACACAAAACTGGCCCTGGCCGGGTAGGTCAGTTAGTAAGAGTGTCATCCTGATACGCCAAGGCCGTGGGTTCGATCCCCGGTCAAAGGCACACACGAGAATAAAACAGTAACTGCATACATTAAGACGAAGAACAAATTGATGTCTCTCTCTCTTTCTCAATCTCTCTCAGATCCATTTTTTAAAATAAATAATTAATTTAAAATAGCCCTGGCCTGGTAGCTTTGTTGGTTGGGGCATCATCCCGAAACACCACAGCTGTGGGTTCCATCAACACAATCAGGACGCATACAAGAATCACTCAATGAGTGCATAAATAAGTGGAACAACACATCGATGTTTCCCTCTTCCTCTCTCTCTCTCTCTCTCTCTCCCTTCTTCTCACTCTAAAAATCAGTAAGCAAAAAATTAAGAACAAACGAACAAAAACCTGCATGTGGGGCTATCGATGGGATTCGATACAGCATCCGATTCTAGTCTGCTTCATGCTTAGGGAGATGCTAAATCCACATGTTCTCCAAAAAAAGAGAATTCTTCCAGAACATGTATGTTTCTCGGTTGGCTTCATGGTTGCGGCTGCCACGCTGTCCTGCCGGTGCCAAGACACAGCTGGTGAGATGCCTCCTGGGAAGTGTCTCGCTTGCCCCTGGCTGTCAGTCCAGTCACCAGGGAGGGAGATAAAAATGTCCTCCTGAATTTGGGGGCGATTCCCAAACCATCTCCACAAAAGCCCGCTGGTAGCACATGGAGCTTGGCAAACTCCACCCCCAGGCCCGGCTGTGGGCGCCCCCTACAGGAACAGGAAGCTGGTCCCCAGCATCAAAGCTGCAAAAATTCAGGCAGGATGTGCAGTGGGTTTTCAGCTGCTACAAATTTTTACACATTAAAAAAAAAAAAAAAAATCATGTACATGTCAATATGGAAAACGTGGCCTTCCCACTGGTAAGCCCCGCTCCAGAGCCCACGGCTTGGGTGTTGAAAGGCTCAGCAGGCTCTTCCCCCACCCCCCTCAGTCTCCAAACCCAAGCAAGGTCAATGTCAGTCCCCAAACGAAGAAGCAGGTCCAGTGTTCGGGACACAGGAGGCAGGGGGGTGCTGCACCCCAGGAAAGGAAGAGACACTTTTGTTGTTGGCTGAAGCCCGTGTTTTCACCAGAGGGAATATAAATTACTCGGTGCCCAAACTCGCACTATTGTTTTAAAAAAGAGTAAGGCCCTTGGTTAGAGCGACGCCCGGATATGTCAAGGTTGCAGGTGCAATCCCCCATCGGGGCATGTACAAACAGCAACAAATCAGTGTTTCTCTCTCCCCCTTCTCTCTCTCAAAAAAGAGAGAGAGAAGAGAATTTTGAAAATAACAATGTCATGGCATAGCCCAAGGCTGTCCAAGCTGTTGGGACATGGACCAGGGCAGACTCTCGGAGAGGCTTTTACGGGGAAAACCAGTCATGGGATGGAGGGAACTCCAAAATCCCTTCACCAGAGCCCTAAAAAGCAGGTGTACAGGTGGATCCCAGCGGTGGGATCGCAGCGTGGAGATAAACCCCATCAGGATTCTCTTCGGAAATCCGCACCCAAGGGCCTCCAGACATCACGGCCACCTCCCCAGAGGCAAAGGGAAACGGAGAAAAAAAAAAATCTTCAGCAGCCTCCTTGCAACCAACCGGCACTTTTGCAGATCAAAAGGGAGAGGAGGTAAGGAAGCAGGAATATCTGATCCCAATCAGATCACCAGCGGACAGTCTGCCTCCTCCTGGGTCCCTGGTAGGATGAGGCCCGGGGAGGCCTGCGTGGCCCTCAGTGTCCGTGGCGACAGTGGATTTTTCTCGGACTGCTCCAGGACACCCAGCATCTCCTCGATGATGGCCCGCAGCGCCCGGCCCAGCTGGTCTGCGTTGTACGGCTTGCCCAGGGGAGGCACGTGGACAAAGGCCGAGCGGCCGTGGCTCTGGTACAGAGACGTGTAGTAGGTGAAGTCACAGAGGTACCTGAGCCGCGGGACAGAGCGGGCAGGAGGGAGATCAAAACACAGTCAGACTGAAAGGTCAACTTCCCTCCAAACCTCCCGTAAGACACCCAATCCCACCAGAGAGCCTCCAGAGGGAAGGAGCCCTGCTTCTCCCTCCCCAGGTTGGCAGAATGAAAACAACCACCACCTGTGAACTCCCGGGGCTGGCCTGTATGTGGGGACCTAGGCAGTGACGAGCTGCTAGTGGGGAATGCAAATTGCCCCAAGGAAGGCGCTTGGGCAGGCTCCCATGATGACGCAGGCACAGTCTTGATAAACTGAGAGTTCCAATTTTTAGAACCTTCCTTCATGAGCCAGTGCACAAGGGCACAGGGAGACAAACAAGGCGTCCGCTGCGGTGTGTGTATAACAACAGGACAACAGGAAGCAACCTGCTAGGGTCCGAATGTGTGTGTGTGTGTGTGTGTGTGTGTGTGTGTGTGTGCGTGTGTGTGTGTGTGTCCCTCCCTGCCCCCTGCCCCCGACACACAATTCATATGTCGAAGCCCTCCTTCCCAATGTGATGGTATTAAGAGGGGGGTCTTTGAGAAGGGAGAGCCCTAACCAGTGGGCTTGGTGACCTCATAAAAGAACCTCAGACAGCTCTCTTGCTCCTCTCACCGTGTGAGGACATCCAAGAAGCCAGCCACCTTGAGGAGGACCTTCCTCAGAACACGACCCTGTGGGCACCTTGACCTTGAACTTCCCAGCCTCCAGAACTGTGAGCAATACACTTCTGTTGTTGACAAGCGCCCCCAGTCTGTGGCATTTGGTTATTGCGACTCAAACAGACGTAAGACACAGCCTTTTAAAGGTCCACTGACAGAAGAGGGGTTTGATACACCTTGGTTTGTCCACAGGGCGGGAAATTTGGCCACCATTTACAAGGCGTGTGGTAGACCCCGAGGAAGACGGAGAACTCGCGAAGACCCAGTCGTGTGTCCGTAAGTGGAACCGAGGAAGGTGATGCCCAGGAAAATCCCTGCCACGTCACCCTGTCCACATCAAAGCGAAGCAAAACAGGGCGAAACCCGACAGCAGCACGCCACGTGCTCTATACAGGCATGGGAATGTGGAGGTGATAGGAGGGCTCATAATCTAAGTCTCTCGTTTACCAGAGGGATCACTAGGGGGGAGGAGAGAGGGCAAGAGAACCGTTTCACATCGGGAACATAGGAGAACCTAGTCTAGAATTATCGGTGCCACTTAAAACTAGTTTTAAGAAGAGACGGATAATACATTCAGTCACTCCTACATCTGTCAGTCAACTAAATTTGTCCCCGGCTGCCTTAGGGCCGGAGAAGTGTAAGGAGCGTTGAGAAATCAAGGTACCGGGTGCCGAGAGGGAGTGGAACAGAGGACAGAACTTGGTCTGGGAGGTAGAGGAGGCCTGGGGAAGGAGGCAACATGTTGGAGCTGAGACCGGAAAGAGGCCTTATGGGAGGGAGGCAAGTTTGAGCAGAGGCTACAGCGTGTGCAAAGGCCCTGAGACCAGAGTGAGCCTGGTGTGCCTGAGGGACAGGAAGAGGCTGGTCGCAGTGGGAAGGAGAGAGTGGAGGGAGATGAGGGTGGGGGAGTAGGTAGGGGCCAGACCACACAGCACCTGAGGATGGCGGGGAGGGACTGGGATTTCATTCCAGGTGCAGTGGGAGCTTTAGGGAGGATTCAGCAAGGAGGAGACAGCGTCTGACCGAAATTTATAAAAGACCTGTAATAGTCTCCCTTCCAAATTCATGTTCACCTGGACCCCCAGAATGAGCCCTTATTTGGACACGGGGATTTAGCAGATGTAATTAGGTAAGAGGAAGTCATGCTGGACTAGGGTGGGTCCTAAATCCTTAAAAAAAGGCCATGTGGGCCGAAGCTGGTTTGGCTCAGCGGTAGAGCATCGGTCTGTGGACCGAAAGGTCCCAGGTTCGATTCCAGTCAAGGGCATGTGCATTGGTTGCGGGCACATCCCTGGTAGGGGGTGTGCAAGAGGCAGCTGGTCGACGTTTCTCTCTCTTCAACGTTTCTAGCTCTCTAGCTCTCTCCTTTCCTCTCTATAAAAAATCAATAAAATATATTAAAAAAAAAAAAAAAAAAAAAAGGCCATGTGGCCCTAGCCAGTCAGTGTGTGGACTGAAGGGTCGCAGGTTCCATTCTGGTCAAGGGCACGTACCTCGGTTTCAGGCTCCTCCCTGGCCCGGGCCCTGGTCAGGGCTTGTGCAGGAGGCAACCAATCAATGTGTTTCTTTCACAGATATTTCTCTCTGTCTTTCCCTCTCTCTTCCACTCTCTCGAAAAATTAATGGAAAATATCCTCGGATGAGGATTTTTTTAAAAAAAGGCCATAGGAAGACAGAGGCAGAGTCTGGGGTGACACATCTACAAGCCAAGAAACTCGAAGTGTCACTGGCAGCCGCCACAGTCAGGAGAGAGGCAAGGAACAGACGATCCTTCGGAGCTTCGGGAAGGAATGGACCTGCCGACCCTGTGATTTTGGACGCCCAGCCTCCAGGCCCGGGAGGGAACACGTTTCTGTGAGTGGCTTTGAGACAGCAGCCGCAGGAAATCGAGGATAGAGACAGCGGCCTGGAGGAGGCCTGGCCCAGGAGGATGAGCAGGGAGGTGCCTGCAGCGGCATCCAGAGGGGAGACGGCAGGGACCCTGGTGGGGAGGAGGGCGCAGATCCATACGTAACGAGTTCCGGAAGCAGAACCGGCGCCACCCGCTACGTGTGTATCCTTTGTTCCATGGTTCGTGAATGGTGAGCCTTCAGCCCTCGGAGGCCAAAGCCAACACACCTAGCTTGCTCACCACCAGCCGGGCCAGGGGAGGCAGAAAACACCTGCTCACACCCACTCACACCCGCTCCTGGTGCCCTACCTGCCGGCATCCTGGGAGATGGTCACGGACACGTCCAGACCCAGCGTGGTGAGCCTCTTGCACACGGCGTCCATGTCGATGATGGAGTCGATGCTCTCGGGCCCGTCCTCCACGCAGCACTGGGAGCCGGGGCAGAAGCGGCAGTTGTCCAGCCCTTTGTAGCCCTTGTTGTGGCCGCACTTCTCCAGCGTGACGGTGGTGGCCATGCCCGACACGCCCACGTGCACCACCAGCTGCAGGCAGACAGGCAGGGCTCAGCGGGTCTGCCCCTGGGACCGGGGGCCCCTCAGGACAAGGAGAGGGGGCATCCTGCTAGGCTCCCCCGGGTTACACGGTTTCTGACCCCCCGCTGCTGGAAGAGACCCCAGAGTTACCACTGCAGAATGGTGTGCCCAGGGAAACAGACGAGGATGTGAAACATGCAAGAATGTTCCTGTAGCCTTCTGATTCAATCAAATACTGGAAAACACATAACTAGCTATTCGTGTGGGCTGGTTAAATAAATTACGAACTACTATGTCACTGTTAAAATGCCCAAAGCTGCTGAAACCGGTTTGGCTTAATGGATAGAGCACTGGCCTGCGGACTGAAAGGTCCCAGGTTCGATTCCGGTCTAGGACATGTATCTTGGTGGCGGGCACATTCCAAGTAAGAGGTGTGCAAGAGGCAGCTCATTGATGTTTCTAATTCTCTATCCCTCTCTCTTCCTCTCTTTAAAAACTCAATAAAATATATTTAAAAGTAAATAAGTAAATAAAATGCTCAAAACAGTTCTATAAGGAATGATCTCCAACACATATTGCCAAATGCAAAAGATAAAGAATAACTTTTAGGAATGTAGCCTAAAAATAATCAAAGATGTGATCTTCATTCGATGCTCACTTCCGAGTTATTCATAAAAATTAAACAAAAAACAAAAAACATGGAAACAAGTAGCATATCCAGTTATAAGAGAATGGTTATATTAATTACAAAAATTACCCAGTGATTAAAATAATGTTTAGGGAGGATTTTTAATGACCTAGGTAATGAAATGCTCATGATAAAAATATTTATGAAAAGCAGGATACTAAAACTGAATACAGTTTCATTTCAACCGTCAATTATTGGTGTGTATGCTTGTACACAGAAGGGGCACTGTAAAAAAGAATGTGTGAACACATAAGATATAGGCAGCTACTGAGCACTGACGTGCAGCTGGTGCAAACTGAGATGTAAAAACTATCAGATTTTGGGGATTGGGCACCAAAAAAATGTAAAAACGTCTCCATGATTTTAAAAAAATACTGGTTGCATGTGATCGAAGCAGGAACAAAGCTCCATAAGTCATCCGGGGGCGGGGTGCCCACCTCAGGCCCCGATACGGAAGCGCCTCTTTGCCCCCCTCACCTGCGGGCTGTGCTTCTCCCACAGGGCGGGGATGAGCCTCTGGACCGTCTTGTACTCGACGGGAATCTCATACACGTGCAGGTCCACGCTGTCGCCCAGGCCCAGCTTCTCCAGCTCCTGAAAGCGAGGGGAGAGGGGAGCGGGAACATTAGGGAGCACAGCAATAACGTGTTCCGTGTGGATACACTGGCCGATCCTCAGAAAACAGGCCAGCGTCCTGACTCTGGGCAGAGTGGGTACCTCGAAGCTCTTCCCTCACCCCCTTCCCCACCCGCACGTCTCGAACTCTATCTGCACGTCCGAGAGCGGCAGGGGTGTGATGCTGCAGCCTGTGGAGCTGGGCTCTTGGGTCTGAACCCTGCCTCTGTGACCTTGGGCATGTTACTTAACCTCTCTGAGCCTCAGTCTTCTCATCTGTAAAATGGAGGTTTTTAAAAAAGTACTTAACCTCATAATGTGCTTATAAGAATTGAATGAATTCACACTAGGAGTTCCAAGCAAAGCTCAAATAACGCTGCCCCTGTTACTCTTGTTTTTGTTGTTACTACACTTTCCCTGGTGACACCTGGTAAGAACTGTGTATTGACGTGGTGGGTCCCCAACTCCTTAGGGAGCCTCGAACCATCTTGGGCACGAGGTGGTTTAAGAACATCATGAATTGCCCTGGCTACTTTGGCTCAGTGGATAGAGCGTCAGCCTGCGGACTCAAAGGTCACAGGTTCAATTCCGGTCAAGGGCACGTACCTTGATTGCGGGCACATACCCAGTGTGGGGTGTTCAGGAGGCAGCTGATTGATGTTTCTCTCATCGATGTTTCTGACTCTATTCCTCTCTGTAAAAAATCAATAAAACCTTTTTTTTTTTTTTTTTTTAAAGCACCATCATGAATTGTCTGCACACAAAAATGGGCTAGGGGTTACTGCGTACACACTTTTCTGGGGAAACACTGATGCTTCCCACCAAGGGTCTGCCTGTTAGCTCCTTGTGGGCAGAGCCTGCCAGCTGGCTGGCCCATGGCACAGTGAGCGAGAGGCCCAGGGCCAGATTCGCTGGAGGAACAGTGACCCAGAGTGGGCAGAGCTATTTGAGGATGAAGATTTCAGCTCAATATGAAAATCTGGGCATTCTTCATTGTAGAATTAATACTCCAAATATGGCCGAAACCGGTTTGGCTCAGTGGTAGAGCGTTGGTCTGCGGACTGAAAGGTCCCAGGTTCGATTCCGGTCAAGGGCATGTACCTTGGTTGCGGGCACATCCCTGGTGGGGGGTGTGCAAGAGGCAGCTGGTCGATGTTTCTCTCTCATCGACGTTTCTAGCTCTCTCTCTCTCTCCCTTCCTCTTGTAAAAAATCAATAAAATATATATATTTTAAAAATACTCCAAATATGATTATTAGTCAAGCTATTTCACATTATGCTCAGATCTCACGCAGGGCTTTGAAACTGCTACTGCTAGCGGGCATTCTCCGGGGCTGTGGGTGGTCCCAGGTGCAGCATGTGTGACTGGCCTCCGGGAATCTGCCACGGGTGAGTTCTCGCATCTCCTCCAGCGGCTTCAGGAAATCATCACCTGACCTTGCTATCCCTGCTGTCCGATGCCACACCCGAGACGCCTGGAAAAGCAGGTCTCTCCTCTCCTCACTGATAGATATTTCCAAACTGCTCCCCAAGAGGGTGCAGCAGGTCACCTGAAACAAGGACACCTGGAGGGTGGGTGGGGCAAGATGGGTGTGTGTGGCCGGCCAGGCGGGGGGATAGGGCGGGGATGGGGGGGGGGGAAGAGTCCCAAATGCCAACACCAGGAACTGGAACCTCTTCCCTCCCATCAAGCCCGGTGACTTGTGGGACCAGGAAGGACCTCCAGAGATATCCCACAGCTGGACAGATGAGGGCAGAGTACAACCCTACACCCCGGACACTGGTGCTTGGTGAGCTGCAGACTGTTGCTCTGTCTGATATCGATTTTATTTTTTATTTTTTAAATGTCTTCATTAATATGTCGCCGGGACCGGTTTGGCTCAATGGATAGAGCGTCGGCTTGGGGACTGAAGGGTCCTGGGTTCGATTCCAGTCAAGGGCATGTACCTTGGTTGCGGGCATATCCCCAGTAGAGGGTGTGCAAGAGGCAGCTGATCGATGACTCTCTCTCATCGATGTTTCTAACTCTGTATCTCTCTCCCTTCCTCTCTGTAAAAAATCAATAAAATATATTTTAAAAAAATAAAATAAAATAAATGTCTTCATTAATATGTGTTTATTAATTTGAGAGAGAGGAGGGGTAGAAACATCAATGATGAGAGAAAAATCATCGATCGGCTGCCTCCTGCACGCCCCACACTGGGGATTGAGCCCGCACCCCGGGCATGTGCCTTGACCAGAACCCGAACTTTGATCTCCTGATTCATAGATCAGTGCTCAACCAATGACCCTCACTGGCCGGGCCGAAATTGATTTTAAAACATTAAAATACCCTAAAGAGGAACTTTGTAAAATATTTCATTTCCCCCACCATCATTTCTCGTCGTCATTTGCATTTGCATTCTTCCATCTATACCTCTGCTCTCCGGCTGGAGCCCTGGGACCAGGGAAGACATTCCTTAAGGATCTGAGATTCAGAGACAGAGCAGGCACGTGCGGCCAGCGTGAGATCAGGCCTCCTTCCTGACCAGATTACCTTTCACCCTGTCAACCCCCCCGAGAGCACGGGAGGCTTCAGATCTGTGAGCACCACTCCAGCTCCCCAATTCCACAAACGTTTACCCGGGTTCTACACACTGCAGTGATCCCTATGGCCACACAAACATGGACAGACCACCATTTGCTTGAGGTTTGCTGGTTACACCTGAATTTTGTTTGTCAACTCGATTTGGAGACCAAGTCCCACTGTGTTCTGCCCCACAGTGTTCCAGCTCCTGATCCCCAAGGCACAATCTAAAATCGTATCACATCACCCTGGCCAGTGTGCTTGGCTGGCGGGGCATCATCCCGGGCACAGAAAAGTTGCCAGTTTGATTCCCTGTCAGGGCACATGCCCAGGTTGCGGGCTTGATCCCCAGTAGGGGGCGTGCAGGAGGAAGCCAATGGATGTTTCTCTCTCCTTTCCCCTTCCTCTCTCTCTCTCTCTATAAAAAAAAGAAAAAGTACAGAAATTAAAAGAATCCATTTCTCAGGCTGCGTGAGGACTCATCTGCTCAGAGTCTCAGTCAGTAAGTTGTCCCGGGGCAAAGATCAAGGATGCTACTACGGTCAGTAGGTCCTCGGGTTACATCGGAGATCTGTCCGGACGGCTCGAGGTGACGCGATTTCCCCTGGAAGTCGGAACCCGCCTACGTTAAGCACCTATGTCCCTCACACAGAGCACATACACAGCAGTAATGAAGCGAAACAGTAAAAAAAAAAAAAAAAGAAAACTTTAAAGAAAGATAACAAGCCGAAGCCAGTTTGGCTCAGTGGATAGAGCGTTGGCCTGCGAACTTGAAGGGTCCCAGGTTCGATTCCTGTCAGGGGCATGTACCTTGGTTGCCGCCACATCCCCAGTAGGGAGTGTGCAGGAGGCAGCTGATTGATGTTTCTCTCTCATTGATGTTTCTGGCTTTCTATCCCTCTACCTTCCTCTCTGTAAAAAAATCAATAAAATATATATTTTTTTAAAAATCAATAAAAATATATTTTAAAAAATAAAAAATAAAGGAAGATAACAATTCCTTGTGGTAAATAAAGTAAGTAATAAAAAACATAAAGTACATGCCCTAACTGGTTTGGCTCAATGGATAGATCACCTGCAGACTCAAGGGTCCCAGGTTCGATTCCAGTCAAGAGCGTGCACTTTGGTTACGGGCACATCCCCAGTGGGGAGTGTGCAGGAGGCAGCTGATGGATGTTTCTCTCTCATCAATGTCTCTAACTCTCTATCCCTTTCTCTTCCTCTCTGTAAAAAACAACAACAATAAAATATATGTTTTTAAAATAAAGCACATATGTACAAATGTTGAAATGACAGAACTTTTTAAAAAATATATATTTTATTGATTTTGTACAGAGAGAAAGGGAGAGAGATACAGAGTTAGAAACATCAATGAGAGAGAGTCATCGATCAGCTGCCTCTTGCACACCCCCTACTGGGGATGTGCCCGCAACCAAGGTACATGCCCTTGACCGGAATCGAACCCGGGACCCTTCAGTCCCCAAGCCAAACCGGTTTCGGCCTATTTTTTTTTTTTTAAATAAATAAATGGGAGATGGCAAGGTAACCACGAAACGACCTAGGTCGAGTCCGATGTAACCGAGGGCTACCTGTAGTTTGATCAGTGACCAACCCAAGCAATCCCCTCTGGGGAACAGAAACCCCCCCTGTGGCCACCGTGACGGGATGTGCCAAGGCCGGACGCCTGGTGCTGGCGGCAGATCCCCCCCACAAGCTCCCTCTGCCCTCTTCTCCAGCCTGAGCGCGAGGCCACTGCCCACATCACCTCAGCGCTGGGAAATGAGCTGGAGCCACAGGACGAGTCACCATCCTGATCTAACCTCTGTTCCCCGTGTTCTCCGGGTGCCGAGCTAGCCCCTTCCCAGCTGGGGAGAAAATCTAAACGATGAAAACCACCCAAGTGTGGGGTCACCCCTCAGTCCCCAGAAATCAAAGATGCACACACGTCGGTCCAACAGCCCATAGCAAGCCGTCCGCCTCTCGGCAAAGACCCTGACGGGAGCAAACCCTGAGTCTGCGAATGCCACGGCCAACGGGAGGAGGGGGCGAACCGGGGAAGGAGCCAGGTGCCCCTCCTGCACCAAAGCAGCCTGAGCAAAAGCAACTGGCACACTTGGGTACAGAGGCTGTGCCACTCATTCAAAACCGAGCAAAACTCCTCTACGGTGACCGAGCTCAGGATGGCAGCTGTCCCTGGGGCAGGACGGGGTGGGGGCAGGGGCGGGGGCGAGGGAGGCAGGAGGGAACATTCTAGGTGGACAGCAACGGAGCTTTGCAGACGTGGGCATACATACTTTTCTTCGAAGTGAGGGGGATACTGCAGATCAGTATGTGCCGTTCTATGCAAATTACTCTCCAACTCAAAAAAGGGTCATGGAGGTCAAAGAGCAGCTATTAAGTTCCTCTGAAGTGATGAGAAGTGGGCGACCAGTAATCGCGCTCAGTTCTTTGCTTCTGAACACTTTCTGTCCCGACAGGGCCAGCTGGCTCTCCTGGGGGGCTGGCAGCACACCCCGAGTCCCACAGCGATCTGCAGCTAGCGCTGAGCACATCTGTGAGTGGAAGGGAGTGGCCAGGGTGTCCCAGACGGGGAGCATTGTCTGTACCCCGTTTACCTGACAAGGCTCCACCACGCGTGTGGATGTGTCTGACCGATTCCCTTACTCTGCAACAAAGACCCTCTTTGTTCCCTGCTTAATAGCCTTAGCAGGTCTGTCTAGACGCGCTGTGGCACTCATTGTCCTGTGATGTCACCGGGACTGTGACCCGGCTCCTCCTTGCCTGCCCAGGCAGGGAATGCTCCAGACGGCCCCACGCCACGGGGTCCTGGCCCCTGACACCTACACCTGCCTGGGCCGCCTAGGAAGAGACGTGCAGCTGGTGTCCCGGGCCACCGGGGGAGACAGGGCACAGGAAAAACCTCTCCTGCAAGAGGTGCTGAGGAGCCCCATGCTGGGGGAAGACCAAAGCGTGGGTCACCCCTCAGTCCCTCCCGGTGAGGGTCATCTAAGGCTGAAGAAGGACGGCCCCATGAAAGAAGGGGAGCAAAAGACAGACAGAAAGGGAGTAGGGAAGGAAAAGAGACCCAGAGAGGCCGAGAGAAATAGAAAAACAGAGAAACAGAGATGGAGAGAGATGTAAAGAGAAGGGGAGAGAGACACAGATTGAGTCAGAGAACGACAGGGGCCCACAGAGAGGCCAAGAGAAACTGAAAGAGACAGGGGAGGGGAGAGAGAGATACGGGGATACAGAGAGAGATGGAGAGAGGAGAGGAGAGACAGACAGGGAGAGACGTGCCTTCTCCAGATGGCAACTTGGGCTTCTGAGAAATCAGTTGGGGCAGAAAGTGACGCTGTCATTCTGTAACCAAATGCCCGTCTTCAGCCTCAGGTGACAGACAACTGTTCCTGCAACTTGAGCCTGGACCACACTCAGGCCTATTTCTCGAGGTATCCACTGGACCTCTCCGGCAGCTGCACTCTTTCCACGGCCACTCCGTTTTATCCAGGGCAACTGCAAGTGCCCATGCGGGCTCCGGGCAACCCCTGGGTGGAGCGTGCAGACAAGTGGGGACAAGCACAGCACAGGCAAGACTCCTGTGGTGGCAACAAAGTCGGCGAGAGGTTTGCATCTTGGCGAGGGGGGCAGCTGAGAGAGGCAGAAGGGGCTGGAATGTTCTAACCCTTGATCCGGACGCGGGTGACGTGAGGTGCACGTTATGCTAATATTCCACGGAGTTACAGGAGTGTGGGTACTCAGAGGTTATCTGTACCCCTCCAGTTTAAAAAAATCAACAACAAAACACAGAGAAACCATCGGATCTGGGCAGGTTGGTGTTTTGAGCTGGGGAAAAGTGGGAAATCTCTTCTTGTTTCATAAACTTGAGGGAGAAAACGGAAAGGCTTCCAGAGGCCAGGTCTGGAGAGATGAGCAACAGAAACAGAAGGTGTATTTCCTCTCAGGCAGCAGCCTGAAAAGCAGCCACCCTCCCCCCACCCCCCCTCACCCAAGTCCCAAAGCTGGGAGGGGGATTTCCAAAGATTGTTTAATTGATTTTTCTCCTATTTAGATGCAGATCATCATGTCTGGGGCCCAGGAATCCAGACACACGGCTTTGTGTCCACTCAGCCCCGTGAAGGCTCCGGTCTGAAACTCGCACAAAGCCAGACACACAAGTCTTCAGAAACACGCTGTTTCCTTTTTGTCTGGGGCTCCAGGGAGCGGGTGCTCCGAGCAAGGGCTTGGACATGCTCCCATCTGCAGGGTCCCGGGAACCCCATCCCTGGGTGATAATTTTTTTTTTAAAGGTGCTAAGATTTTTGCGGTCTGGAGTAGGGGTTGATTTAAAAAAAAAAAAAAAAAAAAAGGTGGGACGCTCCAATGAGGGGTTGACCCATCAACGTTTTAACTTGAATTTGTCTCCAAACTCAGGGTTCTGGTGTGGAAAGCATGCCATGCTTTAAATCAAGTAGCTAATGGGCTAGGATTAGCTGTAGCTTGGCTCCGGTCTCTGCGGATCTGATTTATATAAGGAGAAAACGTTTCTCTCTTTCTCTCTGCCCATTGTTCCCTGGTCTGTCCCTCCAAACGCCCCATCTGACAAAGAAACTGGAAGGCTCACTGGTGGACACCCTGCTCAGAAAAGACGCCCCCACCCCTAATATCCACAGCCTTCTCTTCCCTCAGCTGCAAGGAGGTACCACCCCCCAAGGTTAACACATCCCCCCATATGCCTGCCTGTTCCCTCCAAAACATGGCTGGGCGTGGGGCGCTTCTGAGGCAATGCCATTCCAGTTTTTTGTCTGTGTGGCTTCAGATCATTCTCTCCGGGCCTCAGTTTCCCCATCTGTCAAGTGGGTGCAGGGATAACTGCTCCTGACCACGCAGGAGTTGTCAGGAAAATTCGGAGTGCTGGGCCCAGGGCAGTGCTCAACACACATGTGCCACAGCAGCTGCTATCTGGGGAGGCGTGTGCATCAGACTGAAATACTTCACAGGTAGCGTCACAGGAGATGCTCTCAGTGGTGCCAGATATTGCCAGAGGGAGCCCAGCCCCGAGAAGGATGCCTACCCTTCATGTCTGAGTTACCTGGACGGCAATCCAGCTGGCGTTCACGGTGTGCTCCCCAAAAGGACCAAACCCTGAGAAAACAAAACAGCATGTCACCGCAGAGTGGCCCTTCTTAGCCGGCCAGGGCCAGGCTATGGCCGCCACGCAGAACAGAGCGGGGGCTGCAGGAACAGCTGCCACCTGAGGCAACGTCGGGGGCTGGGGGGGAGGGGGGCTGTGAGAGCCGCCCACACACTTGTCTGCTCCTAATCGACGCTGTGCGTTCTTTTCTGTCCTTCCTTACTTTCATGTGACTCTCACGCCTGGCAAAAGGCCAGCGGCCTCCTTTTGATCCAGAAAAGGTCTTGCTCTCTTCTCAACTTCCTCCCCTGTCCTGGACCCAACGTACAATTATCTTATCACCGTCTTCCTGCGAGGCCGCTCCCCCACTCTGGGAACGCAGGGGGCTGCAGGCACTCTGTGAGTTACCACTGAATGAAGAACGGCCCAGGCCCTGGCCGGTGTGGCTCAGTGGGTCGGTGACACCTCGCCTACCCAAAGGTTGCAGGTTCAATTCCCTATCCCGGCACATAACCAGGTGGCAATTGATATTTCGCTCTGAAATTGATGTTTCGCTCTCTCCCTCTCCCTTCCTCTCTAACAATCAATAATAAATCTTAAAAAAAAAAAAAAAAAGAAAGAAAGAAAGAAAGAAAAGAAAGAAGAAAAAGAAAGAAAGAGAAGAAAGAAAGAAAGAAAGAAAGAAAGAAAGAAAGAAAGAAAGAAAGAAAGAAAGAAAGAAAGAAAGAAAGAAAGAAAGAAAGAAAGGGAATGGCCTTTAAGGGAAGCATGTGTGTGTCTCCCAGGCCAGGCTGCCCGGACACCACCCCACCACCCTCCTCCCCACTTGCTCGTACTCCAGCCCCACGTACAAACCAAGGCCGGGAACTGTGCTCAGTGCTCTGTGTGCACCCCTTTTCAAGAAAGGGTGTTCTTGGGCCCATTTCACAGGAGCCAGACTGAGGCCCAGAAAGGGGAAGCCAGCTGCCCAAAGTCACACCAGGAAACGACGGGAGAGCTGGGATTCAAACACAGACCCATGAATCCCTGACTCCCCTCTTCTCATCGCCCGGTCACCTGCCCAGAGAAACAAGCACCGCCGAGGGAGGCTGCCCGGGAGCCGGGTCATCCAGGTGGGCCAAGGGTCCCAACCAGCGTCAAGGCTTTGGGACAGCGGGGCCTCTCCCCCTCTCCCTCTGGCAGGAACCAAGAAGTCCTAGCTCAGCCCCTCACAGACAGGGCGACCTCTGTGACCCTCAGCTTCCCCCTCTGCAAAACAGAGACAGGTGGGCTGTCATGAGCTCAGGCAAGGACAATGCCCCGTCTGATGGCAGCCTGCAAATGAGCGGCCGCTGCTGGGGGCGGGATCCTCCCCGCAGGCACCCACACCTGTGGGTCAGGGGCGTGTCTTCTCCCTTCTCCCTGGAAATCCCAGGCTAGTCCCCCCCTCTCTCTACACCCCTCACCCCCTCCCCCGCCACCGGTGTGAACCTCAGCTGGACTTCCCACTGGGGCGCGAGTCAAAATGACTCCCCAGTCGCACGCCCAGCGGAAGTTGACGCCCACGTGGTCCCGAGGCGAGTAACCTCTGGGAGGAGCAGTTATTTTGGGGGAGTCGGTGACAGCGGGGGGCCAGGCTCACCCACCAACAGCCCGGGTAGAAGAGGTTTTGATCAAGACGGCGCCTGGGACAAGCGGGAGCGTGGCGGGGTACCCCAAGTCCCTGAGCTCCGCCCAGCCTGCCTGGGGGCGTGGGGGGGGGGAGCCGTCCCTTTAGCGCAGGACTCGGGGAGCAGCGGCTCGCAGACGGTTCACCTGTCACCGGGGCGCTTCCTGCCCGCAGACCGGCCTTTGTCCCCGGGGGCGGGGGTGGCGCCGGGCCGACCTCGGGTGGTGCCGGGAGGAGCCCGCCCCGCTCACCGCGGGGGGCGGACAGCAGGTGCCGGAGGGTCACCGTGTCCCCCCGGGAGGGACGGCGCCGGAGCCGACGGCTCAGCGCGGGGCACCCCCACGCCCCCGCCTGCCCGGACCCCGATCCTGGAACCCCAGGGGCGCCCCCTCTCCACTTTCTCCGCTGCACAGACCGAGCTGAGCTCCCGCGGGCGATGACATCTTCCAAACGCGGCGTGACTTCCAGCACCGGCCCGGCCCGCGCCCCGAGCCCCGCCCCGGCCCCGGCCGCCCCGGCCCCGGCCGCCGCCATCGCGCGTACCCGTCACCACCACCGCCTTCCGGGGCTGCTCCATGGCGCTCGGGCTGCGCCTCCGACCGGCTCGCGGGAGTCCGGACTGGCGCGCCCTGCGCCGCGGAGCCCGGCCCGGCCCCGCCCCGGGCCCGCCCCGCCGGCCTCGCCCCGCCCGCCGCCCGGGGCCCCCTCCTCCCCCTCCCCCCTCCCCCCCGCGCCTCTACCCCCAGCTCGGCCCCCAACGCCCGCGGGCACCGTTCCGAGGTCGCCTTCCAGCTCCGAGCGCCGGCTCCCGCCCTGCGGAGCCTCGGTTTTCCCACTGGTAACGGGGACGGTGTGTACCGTAGGAGGCGGCCGTTGGAAATCACTGAATCAGGCGCTAGGGACAAGCTGGTCTCCTATTCCACAAGTGTCCATGGAGTGCCTGCCTGAGTTACCTGCGGGTCCCCTCACTTCCCGATGAGCAAGATTCTTTCCGCCCTGGCCGGTTTGGCTCAGTGGATAGAGCGTCAGCCTGTGGACTGGAGGGTCCCAGGGTCCCAGGTTCGATTCCGGTCAAGGGCATGCACCTTGGTTGCGGGCACGTCCCCAGTGGGGAGTGTGCAGGAGGCAGCAGATCACTGTGACTCTCTCATCGATGTTTCTAACTCTCTCTCCCTCTCCCTTCCTCTCTGTAAAAAATCAATAAGATATATTTTTAAAAAACATATATTCTTTTCGTCCTATTTTGCAGATGGGGAAACTGAGGCACCGTTTGGATGGCCACTCGGCTAGAGCCCCCTGGAATCACAGAAGTGATGGTCAGGCCAGAGGGTTAAGCTAACCCCCTAGCTTAACCCCCTGCAGGCTCCCTGCAGGCTTCCGTGTTGCTAAGGAGGCTGACGTGGCCCCAGAGGCCCCAGCCTCTCCTCCTTCTTATCTCCCCACACTCGCCCCAGTGGCTCTACATTTGCTGTATCCTCTGCCTGGAACGTGCCCAGCAGTTACACAAACCCAGCCTCTCCCTCTCCTTCGGGGCTCAGCTGGAATGTCACCTCTTCCTAGAAGCCCGCTCTGGCCGTCACCTCCTCTGAGGGGCGTTTCCAACGGGCTGAACGCACCTCCACCCAGGAGATCCATCTCATTTCCTCATTTCACTAAAAGAAATCATTCCGCCGAGACCGGTTTGGCTCAATGGCTAGAGCGTTGGCTTGGGGACTGAAAGGTCCCGGGTTCGATTCTGGTCAAGGCCATGTACCTTGGTTGCGGGCATATCCCCAGTAGGGGGCGTGCAAGAGGCAGTTGCTCGATGACTCATCGATGTTTCTAGCTCTCTATCTCTCTGCCTTCCTCTCTGTACAAAATAATAAAATATATTTTAAAAATAAATAAATAAAAATAAATAAATACAAAATAAAAGGGATAGCAAGGCCAGAGCCTAGAGAGTCTTCCCACTAGAGGTTGACTCCTGCCTGGCCCCCCATTTGTCCCAAATTAACTCTTTTCTAGTCTCTCTCTTCATTTCAGTGTGTGGCCGCCTCCAGAAGCCGGACCCTGAATGGGCCCTAATCACGCGGGTCGTGTGAAGGGTTCCCACAGGTGTCCCTATTACATCTGTGTCCCTGCGCTCAGTACAAGCCTCGCACACAGTTGGTCTCCCACCAACCTTCACCAGAGGTCACAATTCCTCCAAAAACAGCCAGAAATAATAAAGCTGTGTCTCTGACCACATCCTCAGACACAGGGCTGCACATTAGACACGGGTCACTGATGTCTCACTCCAAGCAGCTTGGCCCCGAGTAGCCAGGGTGCCGCTCAAATACCAGCTGCCTCTGGCCCAGGCCTCAGACTGCCCAGGGGAGAGGTCTTTGGACTACCCAGGGACCTGTTTGCAAGCTCAGACTGGAGGTCACATTCTCGGTGACGATTTGGGTCTCTGGCAGCTTCAGGTAGGATTCAGAAAATTCAGAGCAGGTCTGGTCTGGCCGGGGGAGTGAGACCCAAAGCAAGTGGGAGAAAAGAACAGAATGAAAATCTCACCCAGAATCAAATTGTATGGTTTAAATGTAGTAAATGTCGGGTAGAAAGTGCACATGTTGCTAGAAGCCCAGGATGTGAAGAGAGGGAAGTCACAGTGGGTTTTGTTTTCCCCCATCAGAGGGAGGAAACTGGAACACCCAGCATCAGCCCTGATGGGGAAACTGAGTCACATGCTGCTGCCAAGAGTGATTGGGGGTAAAGGCTCAGGTTCACTGGTACCTGAACCATCCATGGATCCTCTTCAAGTGGGTAACTGGAATTCTCTTTTTAAATCTCCAAAAATCCTTAGAGGAAGGGTCTAATCTTACGCCATTTTGCAAGTGAGAAAACACACACACACACACACACACACTCCTGGCTGGAGCTGCCAAGATGTGTGTTCAAGGATGAGCTTTGCAAAGATGTAATCACTAATGCAATGCCCATGTAGGTTAGATGAAGGCTTAGAGAGGAGGATGAAGAATGAGAGAGAGAGAGAGAGAGAGAGAGAGAGAGAGAGAGAGAGAGAGAGAGAGAGAAAGAGAGAGAGATACATTGGAAAGCCAAGTGCCATAAAATGGTACGGCTGCAATGAAAATTTTGGACAGTCCTGGCCAGTGTGGCTCAGTTGGGCGAGTGTCCCCTTTGTACCAAAGGGTCACTCCTTCCATTTCCAGGGAGGGCACATACTTAGGTTTCTGGTTCGATCCCTTTTCAGGGCATGTGCCAGAGGCAACCGATGGATGTTTCTCTCTCACATCGATGTTTTCCTTGCTCTCTCCCTTTCCCTACCTCTCCTTCTAAAATTAATTTTTAAAAAAAAGTTTGGCAGTTCCTCAAGAAGTTACACATAGTTACCACAGGGCCCAGCAATTCAATGTCTGGGGATAAACCCCAGACAATGGAAAGTATTAGGTGCTGAAATAGTTGTAGCCAAACCACCAAAATAAAATGTCCATCGAGGGATGAATGGATAAACAAAATGTGGTTTGCCATGGAATATTACTCAGCCATAAACATGAACAAAGTCTGATACATGCATGGATGAACCTTGAAAACACCGTGCCACGTTAAGGAAGCCAGTCACAAAAGGCCACATAGTGTGTGATTCCATCTATATGCATTGTCCTCAACAGCAAACCCATTGAGACAGAAAGGAGATTAGTGGATGCCAGGGATAGGTGAAGGGGTATGGGGAGTGACTACTAATGGGGACCAGGTTTCCTTCTGAGTTGATGAAATGTTCTGGAACTAGATAGAGGTGATGGTTGGCAGCATGGTGATTATAGGTTGGTTGCACAACAATGCACAACCAATTCTTTTAGTCACTCAACTTATATGACTTTTTTTTTTCAAAACAGTGTAAGACTGATCACAAAGATGGAAAAAAAATAGTATAGGTTTTATAAACCCTCTTCTCAGCTTCCCTCAGTGAAAGAGTTTATCTTACTAAACCATTGTTAAAACCAGGAAATTGATACAATGTAATGGACTTGGGTAACACAACTTATTTCCCAGAGTTGTAAAAATAAATAAATAAAAAAATTCATTTGTAAAGAACTATTCCTTTTCAAATATTAATGAGTTTTCTTAGGTAAAAATGGAGGGCAGCCGAAACCGGTTTGGCTCAGTGGATAGAGCTTCGGCCTGTGGACTGAAAGGTCCCAGGTTCCATTCTGGTCAAGGCCATGTACCTTGGTTGCAGGCACGTCCCCAGTGGAGGGTGTGCAGGAGGCAGCTGGTCGATGTTTCTCTCTCATCAATGTTTCTAACTCTCTATCCCTCTCCCTTCATCTCTGTAAAAAATCAATAAAATATATATATTTTTTTAAAAATGGAGGGCAGCAAGTATGGTGGTTAGAGCTGGCTTCGGTTCAAATTCTGCCTGACTCCTTATGTGGCCTGTACCCTCCAGACGAATTATTTTCCCATTTCAAGCCTCAGTTTCCTCAACTGTAAAAATGGGGATTAAAGACTACTGCAGGCTTTTTATCCTATACTGGAGGCCCGGTGCATGAAAATCCATGCACTGGAGCGGGGGATCCCTCAGCCTGGCCTGCACCCCTCACAGTCCGGGAGCCCTCAAGGGCAAGAGGTGACCCAGCAATCAGGAGAAGGCGATGCTCCCATCACACCTCTGCTGCTGCCACTGCCGGCAGCACAAGCCTTCGCCAGCCCTGGTTACCTGAGCCTCAGGCCAGCCCTGGGAGGCTGGGCAGCCACCATCCAAGGCTTGCCTGCACCTCAGCTAGCCTTACTTGCCTGAGCCTCAGTCAGTGGAGGGTGCAGGAGGACCCGAGGCCCCCGGCGTGACTGAGGGGACCCAGGCGGCAGGCACGTGAAGTGGCCAGCCCCAACTGAGGAATGGAGGATACTCTCAACAACATGAGTTATAACTTCCATTTGTTTGGACACCACAGTCAGGCTTCAGCTCCGAGGGAGGGAGGAAGAGAGGGATGGGCAGCTCATTGGAGGAGCCTGGGCAAGCTGTCAGTCAGTGGGGATTGCCAGAGGGGCTGAGGGGACTACGGTGGCAGGCGCATGGAGCAGCCCCCTCCATGGGTGCTGCCATCTTTGTGATGGTGTGACAGTCAATTTGTATATTGCCTCTTTATTATGTAGGCTAATAAAACCCAATAGGTAAATCAATCGAGCAGCAGAAGGACCAGTGAATGACCGGTTACTACACTGCACGCTGACCACCAGGGGGCAGATGCTCAATGCAACAGCTATCCATGGTGGCCAGTGCACCCCCCCTGTGTGTATTGTATTTACACATTTCTGTGTGCTCAGCCAGAAACTGGGTTCACAGCTAGCGAGCACAATGACAATGGGTTTTACAATGCCCCCCCTTCCTCTTTTTTAGTGGAGGGTAAGATATTTTTGTTAATTTGTTAGGTACATTGGTCCTCTAAGTTTTTGCGGTCAGAAATACAATTTCAACTGGAATGGAAAAAAAAATGAGTATTGGTTCAAGAGCTAAGAAAGGATGGAGATTCATGAAGCATCGGGTACAGCCAGATCCAGAATTACACAGGGCCAAGACTCTGAAGTGGAGAGATGGCCATTTATGTCCCTGAATCACATTACTCTAACCGCAATTCCAGCACCAGCCGAGGGAAGCTCTCTAATCGGCTGAGCCAGGGACTCGTGTCCACGATGAGAGGGGAGAAGGAACCATGCTGACTCCCTCAAATAGTGGCCCATGCAACCTCTCATGTTTTTGCTCCAAGTCAGAGTCCAGAAGGCCTAAGTGTGCAAAAGCACAATTAAATTTGCCACACACCAGGTAATGATGAAAATCTATGTAAGGTACTGAAGTTCAAAGTATAAGACAGGGAATGATTAAATTTTGGGACCAGTCACTGAAGAGTCCATGAAGCAGCTACGCATGAGTGCAGGTTCTGACCATTGCCAGGGCAGAATCCAAACTCCAAGTGGATGAAGCAATAATGAACTTCTTGGGCTCACGTAAATGGAAAGTTAGACCTAATGGCTTTAGGCACAGCTGGATTCCGGGGCTTAAACCATGCCACCCTGTCCACCAAGCAGCTCTTATGTATGTTGCACTCTTGTGTATGTTGGAACCTCATAGAACAGGGTTTTCACTATCGCACTTGTAAATCTCACTATTTCAGTAAATAGGAATAACTCACTATTTCACTTTTAATAACCTCCATGGAAAACACTCTTCTCCCTCCTAACCCTCAGTGTTTTTCAAGGGAGATTCTATTTTTAAAAAATATATTTTATTTATTCTTTACAGAGAGGAAAGGAGAGTGATAGAGAGCTAGAAACATCGATAGAGAGACACATTGATCAGCTGCCTCCTGCACACCCCCCACTGGGGATGTGCTCTCAACCAAGGTACATGCCCTTGACCGGAATCAAACCTGGGACCCTTCAGTCCGCAGGCCAACGCTCTATCCCCTGAGCCAAACCGGTTTTGGCAAGATAATATTTTTTTTAAATGTTTTTGTTTATTTTTATAGAGGAAGGGAGAAGAGAGAGAGAGAGAGAGAGAGAGAGACCCCAATGAGAATCATTGATGGGCTGCCTCCACCCCACACTGGGGATCAAGCCAGCAACCCAGGAATGGAGCTGTGACCTCACCTACTGAACCAAGCCAGCTGGACTCAAGGGAGATTCTATTTGGCCTTGCTTGGTCATGTGCTTCTCTTTTAATCAATCACTATGCCCAGGGGAATGGAGAACTGGCCACCCTATGTTGAAAGGACCTACAAACCCCGCAGTGACCTCAGTCTACCACACGGGGTCACCCAAGTAGAATTTTCAAGGGGGAATAGGAGTTTGCCAATTGGGCAAAAGAAGAAAGCCTCCCTCCCCCAGCTGTCGTAGCTGGGTGGTTGAGCGTTGACCTATGAACCAGGAAGTCAGGGTTCCATTCCCAGTCAGGGCATGTATAGCTGTATTCCCAGTTGGGGGCATGCAGGAGGCAGAGGACTGAGGATTTTTCTCTCGTCATTGACATTTCTCTCTCCCCCTTTCCCTTCCTCTCTGAGATCAATAAAAAAATATTAAAAAGAAGAAAGCCTTGCCGAAACCGGTTTGGCTCAGCGGTAGAGCGTCAGTCTGCGGACTGAAAGGTCCCAGGTTCAATTCCGGGCAAGGGCATGTACGCTGGTTGCGGGGACATCCCCGGCAGGAGGCAGCTAGACGATGTTTCTCTCTCGACGTTTCTAGCTCTGTATCTCTCTCCCTTCCTCTCTGTAAAAAATCAATAAAATATATATTAATAAAAGTAAAAAATAAAAAGAAGAAGAAAGCCTCTGCATAGGAAAGTCAGAAAGGAGTAATCCAGCACAAGATTTTCCTACTTCCACCACCATATTAATGCTGGGACACTTCTGCACCCCAGTTTTTGTTGTTTACATCAAGTAACCTTTACCCTAACAAACGAAATTTGGCAGTTCACTCTGATCCCTCTAAAACAGTGGGGGAATCACTGTTGGCTGCCTGTTGACATCCTGCACACATCCGAGTTTCCCTGGGATGGAAAGCCCTGAACTGATGACAGATGGGACTTGTCGAATAATTGCTTCAGCTGCCCTGACCCTGGATGGGACCACAATGAGCCATGAGCTCTGATGCTGTTGTACCCAGCTGGACTGACCTCCGGTTGCTGTCTGTGTCAGCTTCTTATTGGTGCTCCCTGCAGGATCCTTCCCTTCCTGTATCAGGTCTCCACCCCCAGTGGGGGCATCCTGGAGTCACCCCCTGAATACACTATGTGACCTTGAGTACTCATCTCAGGACCCCCAAACTAAAGCATGAAGGACAACTGTTGGTAATAAGTGTCTGGCACTTTATATGGGATCAGTCATTGGCTAATCCACTAGCATAATGACAGATATGTTCTAACCCCCAATACCTATAAGTATGACCTTATTTGAAATGAGTGACCCAGTGCACGGATTCGTGCACATTGAAAGGAAATTAATCAGAAGAAAGATTCACGTGGTAATTACGTTACTGCAAAACATTACATGTCAAAATAGTATATATAGTATTATAAAATTAAAATACAAAATATTGGAATATCACTATTCACCCTTTCTCTATAATAGAAATGTCAGAGATGAAAGAAAATTAGTAAAATGGCCCTGATGGGTTTGGCTCAGTGGATAGAGCTAGCCTGCAGATTCAAGGGTTCGATTCCGGTGAAAGGCATGTACCTTGGTTGCGGGCACATCACCATTGTGGGGTGTGCAGGAGGTGGCTGATTGATGTTTCTCTCTCATTGATGTTTTTTTTTTTAATATATTTTATTGATTTTATACAGAGAGGAAGGGAGAGAGAGAGTTAGAAACATCGATGAGAGAGAGTCATCGATCAGCTGCCTCTTGCATACCCCCTACTGGGGATATGCCCGCAACCAAGGTACATGCCCTTGACCAGAATCGAACCCGGGACCCTTCAGTCCCCAAGCCGACACTCTATCCATTGAGCCAAACCAGTCCCGGCTCATTGATGTTTTTAACTCTCTCTCCCTCTCCCTTCCTCTCAGTAAAAAATCAATAAAATGTATTTTAAAAAAATAAAATTAGTAAAATGTATATGAAAATAATAAATTGATTAATAAACAATAACAACATGATATAAAAACAACATGGACATAAACAATGAATGATAAATTGGTTAATAAATAAATAACAATATGATATAGCAATAACAAAGTGCCAATAGTTGGTCTTCAGATACACTCTGGCGTTGCATGTGATTGGCACTAGTGAGAGCTTTATATGTATGGTGCGTGTGCAATCAATGTTTATTTTTAAATTGCCAGTGTGTGTCATATGTATCAAGGGGGTCAGATGATCAGACTTATGTATCATTGGTTACTTAGCCTTTCATATATATAGATAAGGTCTTTGCAGATGTAATTAAGGATCTTGAGGTGACATTATCCTATATTTAGAGTGATTTTATTAAGAAAAAGGAATGTCCATGTAATAGAAAAGAGAGAAAGATTTAGACACAGGCACACAGAAGAAAGCCGTGTGAAGAAAGATATTGGAGTGATGTGTCCACAAGCCAAAGAACTACAAAGCTTGCCAACTAGAGAAGCTGGGAGAGCAGCAGGCGATGAATTGTCTCTCTGGGCCTTCTGTAGGAAACAAACCTGCTGACACCTTGATTTCAGATTTCTATTGTGTAATTTGTTACAGCAGCCCAAGGGAAGAATACATTTACCTACTCATTTTGTTTACTGTCTGTCTCTCCAACCACCTCCTAACCCCAAGGAAAGCCAGTTCTGTCAGGTTTGTTCACCTGTGTTTCCAAGAGTAAGCAAGTAGTAGGTGCTCAGTACATATTTATGGCCCGTGCATTCATGTGCTTAGTATGTGCGAGATGTTGTCCAAAGTACTTTCACATGGCTTACCTCGTTTCATTCTTACTGAAACCTTCTATAGAGCAGACACTATCATTACACTGGTTTTACAGGGTGGATAACTAAGTCTCAGAGGGGCAATTTACTAAAACATGTGCCTTAATAAGGACCAACTACAATAGTACAGAAGAGTAGGAGGCACCCCACCCCCCAAAAAAAAATTAGAGTTAGGAGTCCAAAGGCACTTCCTAATAACCGTGGAGCCTCGGTTTCGGTTTCTCCAATTGCAAGGTGTAAGGAATAACCAGTTTTGCCCACAGTGTGGAGCCCCATCAGCGAGGGTTTCACATGCGCATGCGCCCTTACCCACAAGGCCTCCAGCGCCGGCGCACGCTGCCCGCCCCGTTTTGCAGCACTCACCGCGGCGCTTTACGGCTCTTTCCCTCATTCCTTCGGCGCGGAACACGGCACCGCCCGTCCCTCGTGCCGAGCAGGCCCCGCCCTATTCCGCACGGATTGGTCGCCCTGCCTTTGAGCCCCGCGCGGATTGGCTCTCGCCGCTGCCATTCCATTCAGTCTAGTGGCGCGCGGCGGAGCCGCTACCGGCGGGCGCGTGAACCGAGGCGGCCGCGGCGGAAGTGACCGGCGGGCCAGGTCCCTGCCGCCACCATGGTGAGGGCAGGGTGGTGGCGTGTTCTCGCCAGGAGGCGGGGGCGCGGCCTCCCAGGCCCCTCGGGGCTAGCGCTGGGGCAGGGGCGACGCGGAGTGAGTGTATAATGGGGCCCGCCCTCGGCCCGAGGAGAAGAAACTGAGGCCAGAGAGGGCAGGAGGCGCTCCTAGGGTACCCAGCGCGTCGGTCTTCGAAAACTCAGGGTTGAACGAACGTGTAACCTTAGTATAGCGACTTAGCCGCCCTCCTCCCACTTTGTAGATGGGAAAACTGAGGCTGGAGAATAAGGGGACCCGCAGAAGGGCTCGGTGAGTGCAGCTGCGTGAGTTTGGTAGAGAAGTGTCCCCGAGTGTATCCGACCCACTCTAACCTCACTGGGAAGCTGGGATGCGAGGAAGTAGGGGGCCTGTCTGAATTCTCAAATTAAACCAGTTTCGGGGTTTGCAAGGCCCTTAGAATGCTGCAGCACAGCTTCCTGTTCCTCTCGTTTTCAGCTGAGAAACATCCAGAAAGGGTTTTTCTTCTCCCTGGATCACAAAGCAGGGGAGAGAGGGTATTTTGAGGCAGGAGCGGCCTGCGTTTCCCGTGTATTTATTCACAGAAGGGAACATTGAGACCCTGACAGGGAAACGGAGGCCCCCACGGAGGAGTTCAGAGTTGGGCTTCCTGGGAGAGTGCTTGGCCTCTGAGCACCTGAGTCACTCGGACTATTGCTGCATGTTTCTCGGTGTTAGTGAAGGTTCCCACAAAGGTTGCTGACTAGCACAAGAGAGAAGGGATCAGGTACCTCCCTGCTGGAAGGCAGAGACAGCCTGAGGAAACGAGCAGAATGATCCCTCTTTTAAGCTTCATGGAGGCAAAGCTTTGTATCTATCCCTGATACATTCTCAGAGTCTAGGACCGTGCCTGTGCAAAGTGCAGGCTCATCATTTCAGCTGGAAGTGCCCAGGAGTAGACAAGACATGACACCTCCCCAGTTCCCTGTGGTCCTGGGGGCTGGAAGCTGAGGGCTGGGTGGGTGTGTATGTGAGGACAGTCCCTGCCGGCTTTTTGAATTGGGAACCTCAGGAGCCCATTGGGTCTCCTCCTGGATTGGCCCAGATCTGACAACCAGACTCCAAACCTTGTGAGAAAGCCCACAGAAAGGAATCCTCTTTTCTTTAGCTTTTCTGACTTTCCCAACTCCAGTCTCCCCCGGAACTGAGTGTTTGGCCTTCTCCCATTTCTTTTGACACCTCTTTTCCATTGAGTTTTTTTTTTTTTTTAATTGATTTTTTACAGGGAGGAAGAGAGAGGGATAGAGAATTAGAAACATCCATGAGAGAGAGACATCTATCAGCTGCCTCCTGCACACCTCCTACTGGGGATGTGCCCGCAACCAAGGTGCATGCCCTTGACCGGAATCGAACCCGGGACCCTTCAGTCCGCAGGCCGACACTATCCACTGAGCCAACCGGCCTTGGCTCCATTGAGTTTTAAGTTCTCCAGTATCCTCCCCTTCTTTTTTTCCCTCCAACTCCAGCACAGTTTGGGGATGAGGATGGAAATGGCAAGACAGGCCCACTGCTCCTGGCCGTTGCAGCAGTAGAGGGCTGTCTGGATGCCACCTCTCCCTTGAGCTCCTTATTGTGGGCGGGGCGGGTGGAATGCATGTACCTTCCTGGGCAGTATGTGTATTTCCCTTGTATTTATTCAGCAAATATTTTCTTAGTCCACCTGGTGTGCCTGGCCCCATGCTTGGCATTGGACAAAGTCCACACCTCCTGAGTTTTCCAGTCTAGCAAAAGGCGTGGTGTTTCAAGTCTAGCCAGGGAGACAAGTAAACAAGATAATTAGAGACTGGCTAAGTGCTATAATGGAAACAGCAGAGGGTGGCCGAGGTGGAAACCTTGTTTCCTAAATGGGGTTATTATGAGGTCCTGGCAGAGGGAGGTGGTGTTGGAGCGGCAACCAGCCCGCGGAGAGGCACCCCAGGCAGAGGGAATCACAGGAACAAAGGTTGAGCAATAGGAACCTGCAATAGGAACGAGCAGAATGGGCGTATTTGCTGGATCCTTGTCAGGTGTGGCCCGCCTGGGGAGTGAGTGAGAGGGAAGTCGGGAGGGCTGGGAGCAGGTGCTGGTCCCTTATGAGTTTCAGACCTCCTCGGCTACTCTGAATAGGGCACAGCCAGGGACATCTGTGGAGGATGCGGGTCCTCCAGAACTGTGCTGCAGTAGCTGGGACGAGGTGGTGACCCGAGAGAGGCCGTCATCAGTGTAGGGGTCGTATATGTCCTAAAAGACACCTGTGGATCCCTTGCTGACAGGCATCCGTCTCCTTTCACTGGCTCACCGTGACCTCGCTGTTTCCCTGGGCAGCTCCTTCCTCTGACCCCCCCGCCCCCCCCTCTGCTTCTTGGCAACTGAGTCCGTTTTTCATTCTCATTCCAGGCCTAGCCTGACCCTCTCCCCTTTTCGGTGATCTGGGAGCAGAACCCAGCTGTCTCATCGCCTTGGTTCAGATTCCCACTTGCCCAGGAAAGCCCACAGGGTCTCCACAGTAAAAGGCAATCTGGACGCGTGGCCCCACCTGCCATTCTGATCCTCCTGGGAGTTTTCTCCTTCACGGCCTGGTGCAGTCACACAGATGCACCCAAATGAGAGGGCAGGAGCTGTGGGTTGGCCACGTTGGTCTCCAACCTGCCCATCCTCCCTAGAGCAGCTGCCTCCCCTCCACGTGGCTGGTTCTTATCTTGCCAGTCCAGGAAGCCAGTGCAGGAAGTGGGCTTGGGCCTGGCTTCCTGTTGTCGCTGGACCTCCCCTGGTAACTCTTCTGGGGAAGGCCTGTGGGATATCGGATTGGCCCCCAACCCAAGCCCTTCCATGGAGAGCCACACTGTGGGGGCTGAGGGCCATTCCAGCCTCCACAGGAGATGCTTTCCACTCTGCCACCTGGAGAAACAGCTGCCCCATATCCAGTGAGCATGTGAGGCCAGGCCAGGATGAAGCAGAACCTCTTGCTCCCTGAGGCAGTTTCTTGTCTACAGGGTCCTTAGTCCAGAATCTTAATCTAGCCATACTGATTGGGCTGCCTCTGGACCTGGACCTAAGCACTACCACCTTAGTCACTTTCTGGAGAGCCAGAGGTGGCTCCAGTGTATGTGTTCCCAAAATGAGAAGAGCTGGATTTTTTCCAGCTGCACCATGTTTGTTATTAAAAAGAAATCCAGTAATGATGGAAAAAGAAATACCTTAAAAGCCTACCTTATTTGGGTGAGCTTTAAAAGATTCCACCCTTTGTCTGCCATCCCTTGCAATAACCACAAACTTTTTCTGGAATGTTTCTTCCTCTAACCTGTGAATTCCTGTCTTTGAAAACCCAGTTCAGATGTGGCCTCTTCAGATCAAGGTGGACTCCCCACTGTGCATGGCCGAGTCACTCTTGGTCCAATTGGGGCTGCCCTCCAGCTTCAGACAATCAGTCAAACCAAGCTCTCTCTTAGCAGCTCTAGGGCTGGGCAGTATTCTCTGAGCCTCAGTATCCCCATCTGTAAAGAGGGTGTGACAGTAGTCATATGCAGTGCTGGGAATGAGACCTGGAGTTGGATTGCTCCTGTGGATGCATCTTAAATATCAGTTGAGCAAAACAGCAGCAGAGAGACCTGTATGCTGTGATGCTGCTGATAAGCTTGGTGGGTGAGGGAAAATGTACAGTGGGAGTTATTAAAAAAAAGCAAATAAACAGCCCTGGGCTTAGGTGTCAGCTGCCTCTGGAAGGAGAGAGGGGCCTTGAGAGGGAGACAGGTGTGTCCTGGGGTTGTGCAGAAGGAGGAGAATGCCTCTCCCTTAGGGGGTCAGGCTTGTGTGCTCCTGTATTCCGGTGCTATTGTGGGACCCTGCCCAGAGTCGGGGGCTCCCACGAGCTGATTACACGGACAAATTTGTACTTTTGCATTTCAGCTCCCGTTGTCACTGCTGAAGACGGCTCAGAATCACCCCATGGTATGTACCATCTGGGACAGCGAGTGTCAGTGGGGACCAGCCTTAGCACAGGGATAGGGACACTGGGCAAAGGGTGAGGTGCCTCTAGCCAAACCTGCTTCCCCGCCTGTCAACAAAACAGCAGCTGTCCTCTACTTCCCACACGGGTCAGGGCCAGTGCCATTGTTGCTGCTTACAAAAGTAATAGTGCTTATTAAAATGTCAAACAGAAAAGTCATTTTCCCAGCAGGTTATTAACTAATTCTGTAATACATGCGTGTGCTTTTTATTCAATGTAATTAGATACCACAGAACTCAGCCCTTTAAAGTAAATAATGCAGTGGTCTTTAGTAAATTCACAGTGTGGCACAACCATCACCTCTCTCTGGATCCAGAACATTTCCATCATCCAAAGGAGACCCCATGCTCTTTAGCAGTTACTCCCCATGCTTCTTGCCCAGTCCCTGAGAACTACAAATCCACTTTCTGTCTCTCTGGATTTGCCTCTTCTGGACACTACATATAAATGGGGTCGTATAACATGTGGTCTGTGTGTTGGCTTCTTGCACTCAGCATGTTTTCAGGGTTCATCCATATTGTGGTATTTTATGGCTGAATAATATTCCAGATGGACCACCATGTGTTTATCCATTCATCAGTTGATGTACATTTTATTTTTTCTATCCTTTGGCTATTTGTGGAATATTTGGCGACTATGAATGTTTATGTGTGCATTTTTACGCGGATGCATGCCTTTACAAATATCTGAGTTGGTTCTTTTTTTTGTTGTTAATCCTCACCTGAGGATATTTTTTCCGTTGGTTGTTTTTTAGAGAGTTTTCCAGGGAGCAGGGAGAAAAATGTGGGAGAGGCACGCAGATTGGTTGCCTCCCTCATGCGCCTAATCAGAGGTTAGGGATCAAACTTGAAACCCAGGTATGACCAGGAATAGAACCCTCGACCCTTAGATACTCAGGCTGAGGCTCTAACCACTGAGAAACATGAGCCAGGGCTGAGTGTTTGTTTGTTTGTTTGTTTGTTTGTTTTTAAATCAGCCTTTGTTGTTTTTATTGTATTTTGGGTCTTTTTTATTTTTTTCCTCATCAAAAAAAAGTTTCCTTGTAGAGATGCCCAGCAGAATGTACAGAGAAAGCAGAATATGTCCCTGTAAGATGGGCCTCTCTGGGGCCTAGGCGTTGTGTGCAGTGGCCCCTGTCTGAACGGAGCTGAGGACATATTGAATGAGGTTAGGGCTACTCTTACTGGCAGGCCTGCACCTTCCTTGGGACCCCTGGCTGACTTGGGACCCGTTTCTCTCCAGTTAGTAGAGCTTAAAAACGGGGAGACATACAATGGCCACCTGGTCAGCTGTGACAACTGGATGAACATCAACCTGCGCGAGGTGATCTGCACATCGAGGGTGAGTGCCCTTGGGCTGAGTCTGTGCCTGACGCCGGAGGGCCATTGGGTGGGGCGGGCAGGCATGGGGAGTAGGGGCAGTGTGACCAGGAGTGCTCGCTGGGACTGGATGCTTACAGAGCTTCAGCATTCTGGCTTCCAAATGAAGTGAAGGCCCTTCCCTGCACCTTTTGGGAGGAGCAGGTCAGCCTACCACAGGCCATCCTACCCAGGGTGGGGCCGAGGGAGGAGCAGGGCCTCCCAATGTCCTGGACTCTGCACCTGTGAGGACTTTGCACCTGTGGGGATGTTTCCTGGTCAGGCACTGATCTGCTCTCCCTTTCCTCCTGCCCCTGCTTCCACCCCTGACAAAGACAGACTCAGGCCTGACGGGGGGTGCTTCTGGCTACAGGTCTGCGGGCAGGCAGACCCTCCCCTCCTGTCAGCCTTGGCTGCTGCTGTTCCAGGCTGCAGGCCATAGTGGTGTGGCCATAGGGTATCTGGCGGCAAGGACAGCCCAATGGCCCCAGAGGCTCGCTTACCTCCCCAGGCCTGAAGCCAGGAACTGCAGGGCCAGAACCTGAGCTCCCAGGGCTGGGGAAGTATCCCTGGGTCACAGGCTGGAAAGACCCGAGAGCCATGAGGACCAGGATGGTGGCGGGGGCAGGCGCACTCCCACTAATGTGCATGGGCTCTCTCCTGCCTGGATTCCAGCCTCAGACCCCATCCCTGCAGACCCCCAGGTTACAGAGGAAAAAGCTGCTGGGGCCTTAGCCAGCTTGGAGCTGTCTTGAGACTGAGGGTAGCGTGCCCCTAGGGTTTGCCATGCCAGAGTACAGCACAGCAAGACAGCCCCCCTGCCCCTGGCCCATCCTTCTGCATGGTTCACACCCCAACGGGCAGACTCGTGGGCATGACCCCTTCCCTCACCTACACAGCTCTGTGACCTGTCCTTGTAATGATACACCGTGGAGCTTCCACATCAGCTAGAAGCTCTCCTGGTTTTCTTGCCACGTGTCAGGCAGCAGGTGTGTGGGCAGCTCCACGATGGCTTTAGCAGACAGTGTTGCAGTGCACGGCCTGGCGTGCATGTCTTCCTGCACATGACCGGTAGGTCTGTGTCCACTTGTAGAACCAACTACGGGGGTTGGGGACAGTTGGTCCAGCCTCCAGAGTCAACTAAGCCTACAAACATGGCTCCTCTGGACAGTTCCCTCTGTGGCCAGGTGATTAGGAGGAGAGGCTGGGGTGAGGTTTGAAATCTTTTGGGCAGTGGGTGGCAGAGTCCGGGGAACCCGGGTTGGTGGGCGCTAAACTGCCATGGAAAGCAAAGTGAGATTCCTGCAGGGAGTGTTCTGAGCCTGAGCTGGCCTTGGCTCAGGGAGAGCCAATCAAGGAGCAGCCAGCCCCAGCCCTGGCCTCCAGCTTCCATGGAATCCTTCTGTTTCTATCTGGCTGTACTCTGCATCCCCATAGACTTGGCCCCTTGCCCACTCTTTCTGGGAAAGGAATGTGCAGGGCCTCGTGGGGTTCCTGTGTGGGGTGGGAGCTCATGTATGTTCCTGGGAAGAGTTAGCCCTCGAATATTCCGTCTGACCCTCCGAATGCTTGTGCTAGCCCAGACCAGACTGCTGGTGAGTGTCAAGTGAGAGGACTGGGGATTTCAGGGAGCTGGAAGGCAAGCCCCATCAAGGACCAGAGTTAGCTGGACAAGGAAAGGAGGGAACAGTGTGCAAAGTCCTAGAGGCAGGAAATCCCTCATGTGTGTTCCAGAAAGTTTCACCTGGAAGGTGTGCTGAGTACCCAGAGAGGGCAGCAGGGTGGGGCTGGATCTTGGGCACTAGGGAGCCATACTGTGTTTGGACCTGGTCCTTGGCCAAAGGACCCTGACTGGGTTCTAAGCAGGGAGAGGTCTTGGTCTGATTTCTAAGGGCGTGGGGGAGGAAAGGCTACCCAGGCCTCTGGCTCTAGGCAGTAGGGGTGGGGCTGGGGAACGAATAGGAGGCCCTAGGCTCCTGCCCAAGGGCAGCAGGAGGGACTTAGGGGAAGGCCTTGAGCTGGTTCCAGAATATGGGGTTGGGGGAAGGGCAGTCTGCGTCCTAGGAACCACAGGGTTCCTAGGACGCAGCCTCAATTAGCTCCCCTGAAAATTGGCATGTTGGGGAGCTAATGCTGGCGAACGCCATACCTACCTCCTCACCCCCCTCCTGGACTTCTTCACCTGTCACATAGGGTCTCTTTCTGCTGGCCTGTGTCCCACACCAAGCTCAGCCTCTGCCTGGAGATAGTTGAATGAATAAATGGGTCAGCTATAGGTACAGCCCAGCAGACTGATCTGGTGCCCTCGTCTCCATACCTACCTGTGTCTGGGCATGGCATGGCACCTCCCTAGGAAAGGTTCCAGAAGGCTAGGGACAGGTGCAGACAGGAGGTGGGTTGTGGCAGCACCTGGTGCATGGGGCAGCCCCTCACCCTGAGCTTTGGCTGCAGGTAACAAACCCCATTCCACGCTAGAGGACAGATTGACGCCATCTTCCATGTAGCTCTGCTGCTCTTCCACGTGTGCCAAGGGTGCTGAGGGTCTGTTGGGACCCTTTGGAGGGTCTCGTGTCATATCTAGGACTGTGAACTTGGCAGCCTACAGCGGTGATGCCAGAGATACAGGTGGCACCCAGCTGTCTGTACCCACCCTGAAGGGACCTGCGTGGATCTGAGATCCCACCCCCTCTTGTGCAGGATGGGGACAAGTTCTGGCGCATGCCCGAGTGCTACATCCGCGGCAGCACCATCAAGTACCTGCGCATCCCCGATGAGATCATTGACATGGTCAAAGAAGAGGTGGTGGCCAAGGGTCGTGGCCGTGGCCTGCAGCAGCAGAAGCAGCAGAAAGGCCGTGGCATGGGGGGTGCTGGACGAGGTATGTCACATACACACACACACACACACACACACACACACACACAGCGAGTGGCTGCAGCACGTGGCATCTATTTCAGCCCAGTGTTGACATTCTTGGCTGGTGCTCTCACAGTGCAGCAGGCCTGGCTCTGAGCCTCTCCCCTCAACTCCACCCCTACCCCTACGCCTCCCCTTAGCCTTGCAGCAGAGCCAGGGGAGCTGTGACTCACAGGGCTCTTCTGTGGAGTGGCTTTTGCTGACTGCCATCTATCCCAGACTCCAACTCGGGGTCCCAATTGAGTCCTTGGTGCCCAGCAGATTGATCTGGTGCCAGGCAGACCTGGGCTTTAAACTCTCATCTCTGGGCATGGCACCTCCCCAGGTCTCAGTTCCCCTCTGTAGAGAGGATCTGGCGGTGCCCGCCTCATCAGGCTGCGGGCAAGGACCCCAACTCAGGGCCTAGCACAGGACCCTTCCCTGCCCTGACTCCTTGATGCCAAGGTCACACCTTTTTTATAGACTCCCCTCACTGCCTCGACATGACAACCCTGGCACACAGTTACATTTGTTGTGCAGTCAGCTGGGGCTGAGCCTAGAGGCCCTCTGTAAGCCCCGCCTTCCTGGTGGGGTTCCTGTTCTGGGAGTGGCCTGGCCTTTCTCTTCCTTACGCGGACCTTCTGAATGCCAGGCCTGGAGCCAGCTCTCAGCCAGACAGAGTAACCACAGGAAGAGGGCAGGAGGGCACTCCGGGTGGAGGGTTGACAGAAACGGGGGGATAGTGGGCCCTCGTTCTCAGGGCCTGTCTGATACCTGAGGCCAGGCTCTTTGCACTGGTGGGTACCAGTGGTGACTAAGCTGCAAGGAGGGCAGGGGGAGTGGCCTGCGCAGGCCACTCTGAAGAGAAGCCACCTTGGCAAAGCTGGTCTTTACCATGAGAAGTGAGATGGGGCAACCCATGTCAGCATTAGTCTCTGGACCTACAGGATGGGGTTAGTGTGAAGGAGGTCCTGGGTCCCAGGTGTACACCTCAGCCTCAAAGTTGGGGTCTCTGCTCCACCCTGGCAGAGTCCTGCCCCTGTCCTGGCTCCTGCTCCCCTCTCCAGTGACCACTCACCCCAGCCCCGGTCCCTCTCTCCCAGGAAGCCTGACCCAAGCCCCGATGTGACTTGTGGTCTTCCTCTCTCCTTCCTCACACCCTTTGCAACCTGGGGGGTCTGGTCTCTTCTGTCACACTGAGAACATTCTCAAGCACCACCCATACCCAGCTCTGGCCAGACACTCCATCCCAGGTTTTCAACCTGCTTTTCCCCACTTTACATAGGGGGGCCACGGAGACTTGGGGGGTTAGAACACCCTGGAGCCTGGCTCCCGTGCAGCCCCCACTTCTGTCCTGCAGGTGTGTTTGGCGGCCGTGGCAGAGGCGGGATCCCAGGCGCTGGCAGAGGCCAGCCAGAAAAGAAGCCCGGCAGGCAGGCGGGTAAACAGTGAGCTGGCCCGGCGGCCCCGGACTTAGCCTCCCCACAGGCTCCTGTCCATGAGTCTTCAGGACAGAAGAGGCAGGTGTTGGGGGGCCCCACCTGGGCACTTTGTGGTCCTTTTTAGGTTGTCTTTTTTTTTTTTTTTTTTTTTTTTTTAATTGATTTTTGATAGAGGAAGGGAGAGAGAGAGAAACATCGATGTGAGAAAAACAACGACCTCCTGCCTCCGGCATGTACCCTGACTGGGGACTGAACCTGCAACCTGGATCTGTGCTCTGACTGGGAATTGAAATTGCAACCTTTCGGTGTACAGGACAATGCTCCAACCAACCAAGCCACCTGGCCAGGGCATTAAGTCTTTTTTTTACTTTTATTTTTTTAGCCAGCATTTCTACAGTTGGAAATATTATTTGGTCTTGATTTTGTGAAGTCGCAGCCAGCTTGATTTCTGGAAGATTCTGTGTGTTAATGCATCTGTAGAGCCTTCCCCCTTGTGTTAACGGGGGCATTTTCCAAATGGGTTTGTTTTGTATCTTGTTAGACCCCTGTGTGGAAAACAGATGGGAGTTTTCATTTTAAGGTCTTTGCACTGAGGTTGACAATCCAGGGAGTTTTCCTGGGACAGACCTGAAACTGTCTTTTCAAAACAAATCCGCCCGGACCTGTGCCTCAGATGCTGTTGTGGGGCCTTGGTTGGGCCCTGTTCCTTTGCCTTTCTCCCTCTTTTGTGTTACAAAAATAAAAACAAAATAACTACAAGCCACAAATCCGAAGTTTCTTTTGAACCACTGGGCACATAATGAGAAGTTTCCTTTCGAGGCCCGCAACACATCTCGCTGAGGGTAAGCATTTCCAACAGGACCTTTACGATGTCCTTCTACATTTCTTATGAAGGCAAAGAGTTTCACACAATGTGGATGGTGGTATCTTGGAGAAGAGGGAAGAGGCTTAAGAAAATCCAAACATTATGTGAGTCAGTTGCCTTCTCTTATTGGGTGAACTCTGGTGTGAATGGTTCTTTCGAAATAGCAGTGTTGGTGGCAAGGCTGGGCCTTGTGGGTGCCTGCTGGCTCCCACCCCACCTCTCAGCATCATATCTCTCTCTCCCTCCCTCCTTCCCTCCCTCCAGAAGGATTCCTGGTCTGAGGGGTTGGGAGCAGAGCTCCTGCCACAGGTGTTCTGTCTGGTGGAGCTTTGATGAGATGGGGGCTCGGATTAAGTAGCCCATGGGCTGTGATGGGAGGTCTTAGAGGCCTGCTCCTGGCAGTTTAACTGATTTGGACCAGGAGCGCCCAGAGGCCCCCAGCACCTTGCATCCTTCTGAAGTTCAGGGATATGAGCCCGTTTCTGGTCACCACGCTGCCCTTAGCCTCAGCCCATGCAAGTCTACGTAATTTTGCTCTGTCCACCTGGCCCTCACCTTCCCAAAGGGCAGCTTGGCTAGCTGTCCTGTCATCTCACCCCAGGCATAAGCCAAAATTTAAGGGGCCTCAATCTTTGTGTCTTGGTGGTCTGTCAGCAGTGCCTGCGCCCTCTCGGCAGACAATGCAGGATCCTCAAATGGGGCAGTGACCCCCTCCCCCTGGAGTTTGCTCCTGGTGGCCATCAGGAGCCTCATTCGCCCAGGTGTGATTTAGCCTGGGGCCAAGAGCCCTTTTCTGGGATATACAGTAGGCACAGCTGTTTGGGAGGGGTCTGTTGCTTTTCTGTATCACCCTTGCCTGCACACACCACCAAGTCATTCCTCCTCGAAGCCTGCACTGAACCTACCACCACCACCTCCAGGAGGTGTGGCGGCAGCGGTCTTCCCACCCTCCTATTGGACCTTGGTGCCAGGCATCTCCTGGCATTGGCAGTACGTGTCTCCAGTGGCTCAGCATGTGCTCCTGGGTCCTCTGCCATCCCCTGTGGACAAAGGGCTGGCTGCTTAGTCAGGGGGAGAAGGCCTGCTGTCCACTCAATGGGAGAGCCACCTGCCACAGCAGGGGCAGAGGGCTGGCTTAGGACAGGAACAGGGGCCACAACCCATCCAGGTGCTTTTGGAGGAGGAGAAAGCAAAGTGGGAAGTAGAGGTGATCAGAGAAGGCAAGGAGGTGATGTGTGAGGAGGGCTTGAGCGAGGCAAGGGCGCCGGCTGTCTTAGGGAAGAGTTCAGATGGAGGGACAGCCCGTGCAAAGGCTGTGCAGGTTGGTGATGGGAGCAAAGTGAGGGGCAGGAAGTGGGTGCAGGCCCTGACTGAAATGGGAAGCAGTAGAGGGCTCTGGAACACAGGGCCAGGGTGAAGCCAGACCAGGAAGAGGTAGTTCTGCGGACTCTGAACTTCTTTGTTGGTTTTAAGAAACCAGTAAAGCCCCTCACGGAGGCCATGAGGTGGAACAAGGAGCAAGCTGCCGGGAGGACCCAGGCCAATGAGCTGCCAGTTCCACAGTAAGTCCAGGAGCCGAGGGACCTTTCCACAGAGCGGAGGGGGAGCCTCAGTGAGGGGACACGTCAAACCAGCTCTGGAAGGACAAGAGGCACTGGCCATGGAAGAGAGTAGAGAACAGGTGGTGGGCTCCCATACATCAGCACAGAGAGGATGGGGGCTTGACCCTAGGTCACAGCTCCTCCCTGTTTTGTCCTTTAACTTAGAGGGTCCATTAACCTTCTCTCAGTTCTGTTGTGTCAACCACAGGAGTCTCGAATCAGTTGGGGCAGGAGCAGGCAAGATTAGCCTCCTGCTTAAAAATTCACTCCCCCTGCTGAAACCAGTTTGGCTCAGTGGATAGAGCGTCAGCCTGTGGACTGAAAGGTCTCGGGTTCGATTCCGGTCAAGGGCATGTACCTTGGTTGCGGGCACATCCCCAGTAAGAGGTGTGCAAGAGGCAGCTGATCGATGATTCTCTCTCATCGATGTTTCTAACTCTATCCCTCTCTCTTCCTCTCTGTAAAAATAAATAAAAATATATTAAAAAAAAAATTCCCTCCCTTTACTGTGGTTTCAGCTGAAGGACGGGGTTCAAGGCCCATAAGGGGTCCTGCAGGTTTAACCCTGCCATGTCTTGCTGGTAACAGGCCTGAGTCTACCTCATGGGGCTTTTGGGAGGATTATAGGAGGGAATGCTTGGTATACAGCAAACGGTCTATTCATGCTTGAAGCTCTCAGTGGTGCTTTGGTGAGCACCTGTGGAGTGCCTGAGCCTCTTCCAGGACCCTCTTCTGCTCTGTAAATCTCCAGGTCCATTGTTTGAGGGGGCGGGGTGGGAGCACTGATGCCATCCGGTGGGCAGTGGCCAGGCCACTGTCCTCTATGCCCCAGACGCTGGCACCAGATGCCTGGCCTGGGCTGGTGAGCAGTCACCTTGCAGGCCCCTTCGGGTCTAGGCCCAGTCACCCAGAGGTGACTCATCCTTACCCCGCCTCCACTGGAACCAGGCACTGAAATAGTCACCCGGCTCAGGCTCGGGAGTGGCCGTGGAAATATTTCAGGGCTACATTCAGTGCCTAAAAATACTCTGCGAGTCCGCATGAGCCTTCCCCTCCCTCACTCCCTTCTCTGTTCCTTTGAAAACCATTCCTGTGAGCGCCCCAGGTCCTGTCCTCCATGTTATGACCCTCCAGCACATTGAGTGTCCCTGGTGGCCAGGGTTGGAGGTTGTCTCTAAATGCATGTGGACATGGCGCAGTGGCCTCCCTCCATTGTCACCATGGAGACCAGGATGCAGTTTCCCCAGGGACATTCTGGAAAAGCAACCTTTTCTGAAAACCCTAGAAGTCTATTCTTGGAGGGGGGTGCCTGGGTGCAGCAACACTATCCAGGGATATTTTTCTGTTTTCCTTAAAAATGAGAAAGTTTGGTTTTTAAAATAAATTTTTTTTATTGATTTCGGAGAGGAAGGGAGAGGGAGATATAATAGAAACATCAATCATGAGAGAGAATCATTGATTGGCTGCCTTCTGCATGCCTCCTATTGGGGATTGAGCCCACAACCCAAGCCTGTACCCCTGATCAAAAATGAACCCAACCCCGGGCCCCTTCCGTCCACAGGCCCACGCTCTATCCATTGAGCCAAACAAGCCAGGGCGAGAAAATTATTCTTGCTGTTTGTGTCCACAAGTTTGCAGACAGGCTCCCCAAAAGAGCCCTCAGCTGGACTGAACCCCATAGCCTCCCTTACTTGCTGTGAGACCCCACAGAGATTGTAGGTCCTCCTTTCTCCCTCTCCCCTGGGGGGCAGGCTGTCCTCTTCAAGCACCCAGACGTCCTTGACGTCATGCCAGCCATTCAGCCTCCTGACACGCTCTGTCCTAACAGAGAAGATGGGAGAGGGAGAGAGAGGGGTTACCTCCTGCACAACCCCACCAGCGGTCAAGCTGGCAACCTCGGGATGCGCTCTGACCAGGAATCAAACTGGCAACTTTTGGTGCACAGGACAACACCCAACCAACAGCCACATCGGCAAGGGCCAGATTTCCTGTTTTCACCCAATGTCCTTTTTATTATTCCTAAGTGGGTAACATTCACTAACATCAAATTAGCCCTTTTAAAATAGTTTGGTGGCATTTGGTACCCTTCCCAGTATTGTGCAACCACCTCTATCTAGTTCCAGAACATTTTCATCCCAAAGAGAAACCATGTCTATCCCCACCTCCATCAGCCCCTAAACCACTTCCTGTATCTATAGATTTGGTGGTTCTGGACATTTCACATAAATGAAATCATACACATGTGGCCTTTTGTGTCTGGTTTCTCTCAGCAGCATTGTTGAGGTTCATCCCCATTGTAGTGTGTCACTCCTTGTGGCTGAATAATATTCTGTGTGGATGGACCGTGAGCAGCTCATGGAATGTGGGCTGTTTCTAAGTGCTTATTGTTTACTCTCTGCTGGGCACCATTGTAAGCGCTTTATCTGCACCTTCTCCATGAGGTCATGCTGTGACCACCGTGCCCGTGTGCCCATTTCCCGGTGAGGGAAATGAAGGCAGAAATTGGCAGACCGGCTTCCAGAACAACCACAGACCATACTCTGG